CATATTATTACTAAACTTAATTACATATTCGCCAGATTATTTCTTTATATATTCTTACGAATAAATAGCCTCGCGTACGCGTGAAACGTGTTTAAGAACGATCAGATTCGGATACGAGAGGTTCTACTCTATCCCAGAAGCTGCAAAATATTTTCTTCTTCGGCTAAATTGTAAAACGACGTTCGAGAAGAGCAAAGACGTTCGCGATTCGTGTTGTCGCGGCATCCGATAAGGGCGGAATTTCTTGTTTATACATACATACACGACATATATGTTTTCGCGTTATAGGCGACGCCGAGTTTTCGCACGTATTCGAATTCGTTCCGGTTCTATCAGCTGGTAATGTGACGTAAGGAGAGACGCACGCGTTCGACTGGCGAAGGAACGCGCGATGCGTGGCGCGCGACTCGCGGCGCGCGGACCGTTTCGCGATTGCGCCGATTCCGCCGATTGCGCGTGCCTTTATTGCCCCCTCGACTCTACAGACGGCGGCGTCGTCGCCGCCGCCGCCGTCGCCGTCGTCGTTGCCGTGGCGCCATGCGATAGACTGTAGACGGATTCGCGTTGGCGCCGTGATTCATAGAATATTCTGCCGAATAACGAGAGCCCTGTGACTTTCCCTGGCATCATCGACCGTTGCTAGACAGCGTGGGAGCTCTCGCAATCTTCTCGCGCGATTATTCGGAAAATTCGAGCCCGCAAATTCTTCGAAAATTTAGACGTCGCGTAACAAAGATCCCCGGTCTATCGATCGCCGAAGGATATTCGATATGCACCGCCGCTACCCACGCGATATCCCCGGTTGCTGTTCTCCGCGGCCGAAGCATACGCGCCGAAATCGCAAAGGAATTGTAACGACGCGGCAGTTCGACGAAGCGATACGCGAGCGCTCGGGACATTCCTAACCTCTAAACCGATTCATTTTCCATCCAAGCAAGCACCGCGCGATTACCGACTGATTTTCGTTCGAAAAACTTCTTTATCGGCTCATCGGAAATGCGTACAAAATCGAAGCGAATCAACGTTTGTTCTGGGATTCTTTTTAAGTCGATTATCCGCTGTTCTCTTAACTGCCCCGTATTTTTCCTCGCGGCGAAATGTTATCGGGTCTCTGACTCTCTTATTAGTATTTTAAGAGACGATAAGAGAGAGAGATCCATGCATTTTAGATTTCAGTTTCTCGACTTTCCTCGTTACACCGTGCGTGGCGCGGCGCTTTTCGGCCGGGAGGTTAGGTTCCGCGTCGGTGTTACATACGCGCGAGTAGAAATCAGGTGCAACGGAGACAGAGGACGCCCCGTATCCGGGCGAACGTACTCTCGTCAACGGAGACACGACGCGTTTCCCGTGTTGACGCTGACCTTGCTGCGCAACTGGATCGCGAATCGAGCCAGTATGTGCCACCGTTTTCGCCATTCCCTCCGTCTACTCTTTCGGCGTCTTATCGGGCGGAGTTCGTTGACGCGTTTCGGCGGGTTCGTTGCGACGACGGGCGCGCGTTACACGCATATATATATATATAGACGATGCGCACCGCGTGTAATCGACGCTATAGCCGCCGAGAAGACGCTTTTTCACGCGAACCGTTTCCGGGCTCCCGGGATTTTCCGGCCGCGCCGACGAAACGGAGATCGGAATTTCCGTCGCACGCGGAAATTTCGCCGGTCACGGTTAAATCCGCGATTCGTCGCGTTGCGTGAGAAATGGAAATAGAATGCGACAAAAGTTCAAGGACCGACCTTTCTCGACGGCAACGAATGTTCGATAACCGTGTCCTGCTCTGCCCCGCCGTCTTTGACCGGGGTCTCTCGTTAACTCGATGACATTTTGTTCGGCTTTGGTCGTCTCTACCGGTAACGCGGTCATCGAGAGAGCATCGATTTCTTTTTCGAGAAATCGAAATCGCCTTTCGAGATTGCCTGCGCTCGCAAAATTTTCCCGTAACTTCCAGAATTCGCGCGGGAACGAGAAAGTTGCCTGCGCTTCGTTGAGACTAAAATTTAAATTTATTTTTATTTATATATTAAAACAGATACCGAAGATTACATTTCGTAGAAAAAACATCCGCTTTTCTTTCTTAGTCGAAGCTTTCTTAGCCGAAGCTCCGGATTTTACGCATCGATGGCACAAATTAGGAGATCGAACGCGCGGCACGAAGAACATTCGAAGAGTTTGAAAACGCGATTATTTTATTATTTTTCGGCCGGTTAAAATCGTTAAAAAAAAGAAAAAAATAATAGATATCCGTTGTACGTGCGCAGCTCTCTCGCGTCTCGCGTGATCGACGCGGACAATTTTTTAGTATCGGTAAAAATCCGCGCTTTACCGATTCGAATATCGTCTCGTCGACTCGCGCGGAAAATTTCAAGTTACCCGGTGATCGAACGGGAGGGGCGCGAATTTGCGGGAGGCCTCGTAAAAAGAAAAGTAGTTTTACGATTCTCTGAATTTCCTTCTCGCGCGTTGGAATATTTTCAAGGAAAATTACGAGATCGGCGTCAACGAATCGTAAAATGATCCAGCTTGGCGCGGTCCCCGATAATCGTCGCGTCGCCGTTCGAATCGCATTCGAATCGTATTGTTTATATACGTAGGTGCTTAACGGCCTGCGGATTATGCATACAAGGCTTCCCTATTCGTATGCGTATCCTGTGTGGACGGCGAACGGCAACAGCTGTTAAGAAAACAGAGAGCGGCGTTGTAAACAAGCGGAATAGTAGAGATTAAACCTCGATCGCCTTGACCGGTCAAAACGCGTCGCGCATCGATTCGAGCACACCGTAATTGCTCGGGGGGGGGGGGGGGCACGGGGGGGGGGGAGGGGGAGCACCGATTATCATCGCAGGAGACGACGAAGACGACGATGCATGCGCCCGAACCCGTGAAGATAAGCACGATGATGTATGACCCGATGAGCTATGATGTATGATGACTGTGTTAAGATAGAAGAGACATTTTTGAAAACATGCAGACCCCCTCGGAGAACTTTTGGAACGATCCAAGAACAAGTAACATAATCGTCCACTGCAAGATTCCTCATTTACTCGAGGATCAACCACGAACCATAGCATTTAATTGCATGGAAATAGAAAATATCAAAGACGTCGACTCGGTGGTTTAATTNTTTTGGGGGGGGGGGGGGGGGGCACGACGCGAGCGAAGTAAGCAGTTCTTTCTTTTTTTAGTAGAACATCCTACCGTTGAACAACGTGTACCGTGCGTGAAAACAACTGGCGAACGTAGGTTGCAGGGCGCTTTGAAACGGTTCGACGAGGACCGCTAGATAGAACGTGACAGGTTTACGATACTCGCCGCATATTCGCGTTGGATTTATTCGGTATTCGGTTAAGGTTTTATCAATTTTATCAACTACGCACGATTATATAAACTTAACCTTTTAGGCACGACGCGCCACTATAGTGGCTTTCGCGGATGTCATCTCTCTGGACGACGCGCCACTATAGTGGCTTGCTCTAGTAGCTCACTCGCTCATTGTTTGAACCAAATAGTCGTCTTCGTATGCATTGTTTCACACTTCTTTTGTCTTCGCATCGATTTACAACAGTCTACAGGGTGTCCGAAAAATGTCTCTCAATCCGGAAATGGCGGGTTCCTCGGATCGTTTGAAGCAACTTCTTCCTTTGCAAAAATGTTCTCCGAGGCACCGTTAACGAGTTATCAACGAAAAACAGCGACCAATAAGAATCGAGTACGGCTGACGCGAGGCAGCCCAGCCGACCAGCGCGCGAAGCCCGGTTCCGCTCATTGGCTCGATCGCCTCGCGCCAGCCGAGCTCGCCTCTCATTGGTCGCCGTTTTTCATTAGTGACTCGTTAACGGTGCCTCGGAGAAAATTTTTGTAAAGGAAAAAGTTGTTTCAGATGGTCGAGGAACCCGCCACTTTCAGATTGCGAGACATTTTTGGGACATCCTGTATATACAGACAGAATATACAGTATATATCGGACTCTGCCGCCCAGAGAAATAGCCTCGCGCAGAATTCAGCCGTACCTAAAAGGTTAAACTTGCTCGCAATCGTTCCACCCGATATATCGAAGACTATAGCCGGTCGCGACGCGTACGCGCGGTCCCGCGTCATTGTAAAATGCACATGCTCGGTTGCCGCTGACGTCATTCCGTAGTTTCAACGAGATCGATGCTTTCACATTTATTGGATATTCGCGATTATCTCTGGAATACGAAAATAAACCTTTCTTTCGCTACGTTTACGTTAATGTTTCACAAAATCGTCGTTATCCTTTCGATTCTCTGTTTATTGCTATTCTATTCCGCCACGATGTAAACATAAGTTTCTATGAGAGATCGACTTGTAGAAATCCATGAGAATTCGAAGTTTTACAAACCGGTCCGCGATTTGGAAATTGTTCTACGAAATGTTCGAGAATTTATTATTGTAGGCTATACGATTATTGTCTATATATGTAGGTTATATTGTATTATTAACAGAAGCGTACGCCTATTAATAGAATAATAAATAGTAAATAGTTTCTAAAATACCATTGATTATTTTCGTCTGCAGTGTCAGCGGGTATAAGTCGATAGATCGTATTCATTTCAGAAACACTCGTATTATCTTGGACAAAATTTCACTTGTATTCGCTAGCCCACCAGAAGAACACGATTCCACAAGAATTGTAGAAAATTCGTAGATGTCTTTCCAGCTATTTTTCGCTTATAAAGAGACAAAAAGAGAGAGAGAGAGAGAGAGAGAGAGAGAGAAATAAGCACTGAGACAACAGAGAAAGGAGTCCTAATTCGATAAAAAATTGTAAAAATCGAGGTTCGCGTATTTTAGAAAGAACGAGAGAGAGAGAGAGGGCATATGTGTGTGTGCGTGCGTGTGTGTGTGAGCGAGCGATCGAGTAAAGGAATAGATTAGTTAGAATTAGAAGAAGCCCCGTTCCATCCGCTAGCATAATCTCTGATCTGATAAAACTGCAAATTTCAGTTGGATGTAATATGAATGGTTTGATATGGTAGACGGACCTCTGCGGCATCAAATGGAGGAAACTCGTGTGGGGCGAAGTGGCCGGCGGCTTCGGTGGCACTCCCCTCGAGGACCCGGTGCTCTCGAGCTTCTCGCGGTGCCTCGCGGGTGACATTCTCTGCGTGTGGCGGCGGGTCGCCGCGACGCCGGCCACCTCCGGCCCGGCAACCGCCTCTGCGACCGGAGCTGGCATCTTCGACCTGGGCATCGCACCCTCGCCAGCACCGCCACCCCTCTCCCTCACCGCCGCTAAGGAACTCTGGATTTTCTGGTACGGCGAGGAACCTGATCTCTCCGGTATCGTGTCGCCGGAACTGATTGCGTGCGGTGAGTAAAGCCACCACCATCCGACCCCGTCCAACCGACCCGCGCTACCGTCTCGCGATTCTCTACACCTTTCCCGTAGATATTTTGTACGTGTGCTCTTTGCGCGACGATCGTACCGAGACACAGCTACTACCCCTTTTCTCGGCGCTCGGGAGTTTCCACCGTATAGTTGTTTCATTTTATGTCGAGAAATACCAAGCGGCGCGATAATAATGAATTAAAAAATTTTATTTTCTAACGTATTATTGCATTATTAGTATATATTAGTATATTATTATATTATATTATATTAGTATATTAGTATATTATTATTACATACATTAGTATATTAGTATTGCATTATTAGTATTATTCTACCTATTGTAAAATGTACCTATTTACATTAAAAGGAGCCTGTGCGATGTACTTGCTTCGGTGAATCCGAGCGCGCTCCGAAATGTGCAAGGGTTTTCTCGACATAAAATCTCAACAGCGCGATCGCGCGCTGCGTTGGGACTCGAAACGGTTCAAATGAACAGCTCTGAAGAAAATACATGTCGGATGATTTTCGATTGTTCGTATGTGTGCCAAGTTTCATTACGATGGGCAATTTCTAGTTGGATGATGACCCTTGTCCGTAGCAATTGCCGTTGCACGAACACCGAACACCCAAGTGCGAGCCCATAGACACCGCGCTCCGCGTCCGCTATGCGTGCGTTCCGCTTAGGTCCAACACCCCGCGATGTGCAACCCGCTGCAGCACGGCACGCAACGCCACGCGTGCGTTGCCTACGTTTCGTTTCGCTCCCACTCGAACGATCGCCCTAACTTCGTATAACTCGCTGCCCATAATTGACAACGCGATCGCTAGCTCTCTTCGATGAAAAAAAATTAATGCCCGCTCGCGCAAAGTAAAATCGTAAGTGGGAGATGTTGTCACGTGCCGTACAAGATACTAACGGACAGCGTTGCAATTACAGTTTGCACGATAACTGCACCGGAGCATGTCTCTCTTCTTCGTTCTCCTTTCTCTTCTTCTCAGAGAGATCCAAAGAAATCAATTGCTTTTTTTCTCGAGAGAGAAAATCTTTACGCGATGTTTCCGACATCCCGCTTCGGCAGCCCTCGGCACGTGACTTTATCGAGCGTGTACCGGTTAACGACCGGTGTCACGCAGACAATGCTCGCGTGACATCGTTCGCGGGACACTCTTAGGAAAGTAGTATATATAATATTGTGGCTCTGTTTTGAATCGGCTGCGATGGAGATCGAAGCGGTTGGGGATCGGTGCCAAGCGATGCCAAATTCAAACGATACGTTGAAACGGAATCGAACGACTTTCGCAATTTTTCATCAATATTCCTGTTCCATGGCGCGATCTTAAGATCGCGGCATAGTACGAGCAATTCTACCATGTATGGAAGAAGAATATGTTGAAATTCCTGAATTAATTTCACTTTTTCCTGTCTTTTTCGCCCACGAATTTCTGTCACAATTACGCGCACGATATCGTCCAGCGACCACCGCGAAGGTGGTCGATACCCTTGCTCCGTCGATTATCAGAGAGTGTTGGAATTTTCTATCGCGAATCAACGCTACGGAAACTCTCCGACTAACCGTGAAACGACGGCTCGGCCCGAAAGCTTAGATCGGCTATAAAAATATATGGTCGCAGCAGAAAATTCTGCACGGTTTCGTTTCGCGGAAAGGTGTGCAAAGCCGGTAACGCCGGCGAGACCGTGTTTCTCTCTGCACGGGGTCGCTGAACCGTGTACTTGGACTCTGTAACTCGGTGCATCGCAACGCGGAGATCCTTTATTGTGCATCGCGAGGAGTGCACTGATCGCGGAACCAAATGGTGAACCGTTAACCAACGTGTTGAACGTTGCGACAGGGCGGCGGCTGGGGGAGGCTTGTGACAGAGAGAGAGAGAGAGAGAGAGAGAGAGAGAGAGAGAGAGAGAGAGAGAGAGATAAGAGGCAGGAAAATCGCGATTGATTTCCCGAAAGAGAAAAGAAGCAATTTTTGTTCGCCGGCCGCCGCGGTCGTGTCGCACGCAAATCGCGTTACTTTCACGAGACCGAGCATCGCCTCGATTCGCCCGAGGAAGTAGATCGCGGGAAACTAACAGAAAATTCTATGCTGTTCTACCGCGAGAAGAGAATACCTAGGTAAAACGAAAGTATAATCGAAAGATCGAATAAAATTTGGCACACGGGAGAATGTAGCGCGCGCCGGCAACCCCGAAATCCGCCCCTCCTCCGTCCCTCCTCCCCCGAACGAATAATAATTAATCGTTTGATTGTAATTGCAGAAAGTGAACAGGGCTCTTGGGAAAGCGGATTATCGTACGAGTGCCGGTCACTACTTTTCAAGGCTCTGCATAACTTGATCGAACGGTGCTTACTGTCACGTGATTTTATTCGCTTAGGAAAGTGGTTCGTACAACCTTACGATGGCTTCGAGAAACACCGATGTAGTAGGTAAGGACTTTTGGCATTTGTTTTCCTTTTATTTTCTATTTTCATTCTTTCCTTCTCGTCTCTTCTCTCTTTATGCGTACCACACACCGTTGTTCTTTGCGTGCTTCGTTCTAAGCGTGTTACTTCTTTTTATTTTGCAGTTGTCACCTGTCGTTCTCGTTTGCATTCTTCGTCCACGGAGAGAGCACTGTATGCGCTAGTGTGGATGTTAGGCAGCATCCTGCTGTACGACATCTCACCAGAGCTTGCTTGCAACGTACCCAAACTTCCCAATCTGGGGTTAAAGGTAGTCGTTCGGAACGTTCACTTAAACCACCGCTCACTGTGCAAGTCTGTAAACTGCCGATTTGACCGAGTAACGATGACAAATAGAACACAACACCGTGTACATTTCGGCTCACTCGCGGGAACGAATCGCGACGCATGACGATAACCACGGAAGCATTTACATCGAATTTTAGTAGTTTCTAAAGGTTCCGCCGATATTTCTGCGAAGCGATGCTTCCGGACTCGGCTTTCAAAATATCTCAGCTGTTTACCGGATGTTACCTTTTAAACGCAATATCTTCTGTTACGAAAACGATTGTCATTTAATTTGTCTCATCGCGGAGATTACAATACTCCTTCTAGCCCATGTTACAGCGTACAATGAGAGACACGAGTAAAGCTTAAATGTATACGATAACGTAAGAAAGATTTAATTCAAGAATCTTTGCATAAAACGATAACAAAAAAAAAGATTGCTGTCAAAGCGGCATGCTTCGTATACACCGGTTAACAAGTTGAGGGATTGCGTACACCTTTCTAGCTGAACAAAAAAGAGTGTTACCTTTGAGAGTTCCTTCCATTATTTTATTATTCGACGCTACGTAGTTTTAACGGTAATTCCTGAAAATTTCATCGAACATCTATAGAAATTCGTTGATCGGACGTTTAAAGATGACGTTTCATGTATGTAAATCCCGAGTAAACTAGTTCTAGAGGAGTGTATAGAGAAGCACATGACACGGCGGGTGTGTTCGAATTTGTTTCTACGGTAACTGTTCTTTCACCGAATCGAATGCGATTGCAGCACTGATTTACCAAGTATCTGTTTGTGTGCAGTAATTCTAGCACCGTACGGGCTAGCAGGTACTTTAACCGGTCCAGTGGGGCGAACAGATAGTCAACTTCTAGAAGAATGGAAACACTTCTATCCGATCAATGGCAGCAACATCGAAGCGGGACTTCCACCGTTGGTAGATGTACTTGTTGGTGGTGTTCGCATGCGATATCCTTCCTGTTATGTTCTGGTCACTGATATGGACGACACTCCACCCGAAACACCGCTTTCTCCGCCGAGCAGTCCTACTAGCTGCGAACATCCGCTCCTAGGTCAGCAGGAATTACGAGCAGCTACGGAACTGCCGGAACGCGTATGGGCAGAATGTACTTCGAGTTCACCGATCTCTGCTTCCAAAACAGAATCTTCCACCGAACAAGGAACCTGGAGCTTCATTGATGCAACACAAAAGTCTTCCTGTACCTGTTCAAAGTGAGTAGTCTGTTGGAACATGCTCCGAAAGCTTTTACTGCATTGTAATTCGATTGAGATGCTATGAAGAACGTGTAATTCTCAAGGTGTATGTGTATAATTTTGAAATGTATTCTACCACTGCGAAGAGAATACCGAAATATGCACCTGACGATAAGAAAACAATGCAGTAATAGTAATTGAGAATGGTATCGTCGGATTGATCCAATTTGTTATAGTATTATGCAAAGAATGTATTGGTTTATTATTATTATTATTTTTCAAAGTATTATGTCCTTTGCACATTTATTCATCGTAGCAGTAAATTATTTCCTTCGACTGCATTCTATGTTTATCTGATAACGTTTAAGATAGTATTATTCACAATTATTATTGGTTTTGTTTGCATGTTATAGCACAGTTATACGAAACGTAGGTCTCAATTATTTCAGTAAATAAGTAGTAATTTAATTAAATGGCTGTCGCAAAATGTGCATGTGAACTTAGTTTTCCATTTTTTTTCTTTTTTTTTCTTAAGGATGGCTCAAATGCGATTGTTTCTTTTAAATTAGTTCTTTGTTTTGTGCAATGGAACTGTCCTATTTTATATATTTCCATTAGAAAAGGAATGTCATGTTTATCGTAGAAAAGACATGGTAAGTCCATGGTGAAATTATGGTAGAGGCATTAGAAATTGATAAGCCATTACGATAAAAGCATTCGCGCGAAATTATCGAAAGGCTTTGGTAAGCCTGTCCCAAGGGACGAGAGATTATAGTCATAGATTACGAAAGACAAGCAAATTTGCAAGGATAGATAAACTGATTAGCGATTACAGATTACAAGGAACTTTTTGCTTTAGGATTCTATACCGTGGAATAATATAAATTTAAAATAACTGGTGGATATAGGAGAAAACAAGATGTTAAATGCATCGGTTGCAGGTATACGACCCCCGGGGGTTGGAAGAGCCTGGCCTCCTCTCAGGTTCAGAGGGAGAGAGTAGATAAAGGTGGACGGAGGGTCGTACCATTTCATCGACGCTCTACCACCCAGTGGGATGCTTGTCCCTCTGTCCCTGCTAATGCCCCCAGGTGGGTAATCTCTGCCCCGATATCAACTGAAGAACCATTTCTCTCATATCTTAATAAATCACCGCAATAATGCCAACTTCATGTGATCGTTATGATGCCATAACGTCATCCTTTAATTCACATTGCTTTTTAAAGTTGCGCTATTTATCTGATATTCCAGTAACTAAATTAAATGCACGTTTATCGCATTAATCAAACATCATTGTGTAGTTTTCCTCATTCTTTTTTGTTTATTTCATTCTTGGCGAAGGGAAGTGTGGTGTGGATTAGGTCTGAGATCATTAAAAAAATCATATAGAAAAGAAAGATGACACTTTTTTTTGCAGTTAGAAAAGTGCGGTCGATATAAATGTTTTATATATATGTACTTGTAAAGGTGGTATCCATTGCGTATATGTATTTATCAATGTACCGTAGTAAGTATGTTTATATGTACATATCTGGTAAACAGTTATTTAATACACCGATAGTTCTAGAAATCATAAATTTGACTGAGAAGAAACCTCATAATAGAGTATTTATAGGTTGAACACACACAATTAACAAAGTCACGAAATAACATATTTTATAACGATTACCAGTCACATATATTTTCTTCTTTTCAATCTTAACGTTCTGTGCTTTCAAGGGTATACTTTGCATGGATCGTTAGTATTATATAATCAAGCATGTAATCTGTAAATGTAGTATTTATGTATATGCTTCTTATCCTCATCCTCTTTTTATTTAGCATTGTTCAGTTTATCACACAGTGTCAGTTTTGTTAATTAAATTATTAAAATCATTATACTCGTGAAAATGGGTAAAGACATTCCTAGATTAATAGTCTCAAATAGTTCAGAAACGACATGCTTACAAAGATGTCTTCACCCATACTATCTAGTAGAATGATAATTGCAACACTTCAACGATGGAATTGAATGAATAATTTTATGTTCATATTTAGGTCTATATTGAATAGAACAGAGGCACCGAGTACACCACCAGGTGGACCACCCTCTTATTCAAGGGGACCACCGACAGGAGGAGATTGTCTACCAGTTCCATCTGTTGGCTCGCCAGGTTCCCCAGCACCTTCACCTCTTCCAACTCCACATTCCGAGCCAGCGTCCGTTCCACCAGCTGAGCCTACAATGCCCACTCTAAGTCCTCAACCACCACCCAGTCACACAAACACTGCCCCACCATTAACCCCTTCTCAAGGTCCGAAGTCAACCTCCTCCGCATGCAATAATCAAGTGCATAGTCCAGCTCCTGGGCCAACTTTAAAACGACCAGTCTTAGTCTCCAGAGAATGTGAGGATATGTATTTAGAAAATGAACAGTCATTACCTTGGCTCTATGATTACTCGATGCAAGAAGCATGGCTCAATCATCCTGTGAAACGTTTTAAGGAATCTAATAGTAGTCCAGTCAATGTGCGGAGCAATACTTTGTATCCACCAATGAATTCCCAGGTTTCTCAGTCACAGACTCCAAAATTAGAAATAAAGCAGGAACCAAACGTGAATGTTGTAAGTTATATTTTTGCTTCCTTGTAATATCCTTATATCGATTGTGTTTCGTACACAAGTTACAGTTTGATTCTGAATAGGGGGATTGCATCGGAAGAAGAACAGATCCTTACGAGTTCGATGCCACAGGCGAAGAAAACGGTACCGGTGTCGATGGACTTAGACGACAAAGAGACGATCCTACCAAACCGGGATCTTTGTTTACCAGCGAAGGTCTTCAAGCATCCTACAAAGATTTAGATCAAATCTTTGACAACTCCGACCCTGATACTTCTAGCGATGAAACTGTACGTACTGCCTTCAAGTTCTAACGATTATTTTCTACCGATAGACCGGATCACATGAAGTTTCTTTTTGCAAACAGAATTTGAATCAACTTCAAGTGCAAACACCACCGGAATCGAACAGATCCGGTGGACTACACGATGAAGCCAGGGTGGACGCTAACAACAGACATAATAATCGTGGAGTAGGTGTTTTACGACCAGAAGAGCTTTCCAAAATGTTTCCAACACCACCATCCCTAGAACATAATCCGGTCGCTTCACCTTGTCAGCTGAGCGACCCTTTAATGGACCAGACAGAACTTTCTGTACCTCAACGACCACTCAGGCATCTCCCTGATATCTATCCAAACATGGGATCCCCTCAAGAAGAACCAATCGACGATTGGTCCTATGTGTTCAAGCCTACACAAATCTGTAAGATGGTTGGTTCTTCCAAGTATGCTCCTCTTACGAATTTGCCCAGCCAATCTTTACCACCTGTCACACTGCCATCGCACTGCGTATACAGACCTTCCTGGCAGTGCAATCCAGCACCCAACAACACAGACAAGCCACTTCCACCCACTAGACCCGGATCGGTTCAACAGCAACCTTGCCCGCCGAGCCCAGCACCATTGGGAGCACCTTATCGCTCAGCAACTATATCTGGCAGACCGCCACCGCCACCGTACGATCAGCCAAGCCCAGCAACATCCACTACTTCTTCATATCTCAATAAAAACCTGAATAGTATTGAAGCGGACACACCGGGACCTGCGCGCGCTCCAGAATCGAACTCTCTTATAGTGAACATCTTATTAGGCGATACTGCGCTGAACATCTTTCGCGATCACAACTTCGACAGTTGCAGTCTCTGCGTGTGTAACGCAGGTCCAAAGGTAGTAGGCAATATCAAAGGTGCCGACGCAGGTGTTTATCTGACGCACTCGTGGTCAGGCGGGGCTCTGTTCCAAGATGATGATCAGATCAGGTGTAGTTGCGGGTTTAGCGCGGTAGTGAACCGACGATTGGCCCATCGAGCGGGTTTGTTTTATGAGGACGAGATGGAGATCACCGGTATTGCCGAAGATCCTGCGGAAAAGAAAAAAGTGTCTTTGGTAGCTGTGGCATGCGGAGGCGGAAAACCATCCGAGGGCTTAGATGTGATACCACCGAACGTGTTGGAGTTGCTGAGGGAACAGTGTTTGATCGTGCAGAGCTCCGCGAGTAGTCTGTACAGAGCGTCTAGGATTTACGCGACAATGAAGAGCTACTCGATGCTCGCGCCTACAGTGAACATGTTAGAGTTTAACGATGGGAACGAAGTGTCGCTGGCGGCTCTCGATCAGGGTAAAATCGACGGTACGCACAACGAGAGGACTAATCGCGTGAACGGTGTGCATCGATGGGTATTCCTCAGAGCAAAGGGTCCTCAGTGTAGCGGTGATATTGTTAGGATGATGAGGGCGCTGCAGCCACTCCTGCAAGACGCGGTACAAAAGAAGTGTACCACTCGCATGTGGGAGGCACCGTACACCGTCGCTGGTCCTCTTACCTGGAGGCAGTTCCATCGTTTAGCTGGTCGCGGCACCGATGATCGCTGTGAACCCCAACCGATACCTGCGCTGGTTGTTGGTCACGATCGGGATTGGCTGTCTTTGTCACCTTATGCCCTGAGTTACTGGGAGAAACTACTTCTAGAACCGTACGCTGGACCTAGGGACGTCGCTTACGTGGTGGTAGCGCCGGATAGCGATTGCGTTATCAATAAAGTAAAGTCATTCTTCCGTGAACTGTCAACCACGTACGAAGTAAGTATTTCACGCGATAGCAGTGTGCATTGTTCGATGTAAACAACGATATACCTTTACAGATCTGTCGACTGGGAAGGCATACGCCCATTTCAAAGGCACTTCGCGACGGTATTCTTCGAGTTGGTAAATCGTCCGTGCAAAAACAAGCCAAACAACAGATAGACGACTGGTTTAAGTTATTAGGCGAGAATCAATTGGGAGAGCTGTTGCGGCTATATGCTCAAGTCTGTAACCACCGATTAGCTCCATATTTAACGCAGGTTATACAAGATCGAAGTTTGTTAGATCCCGGAGATTCCCAGCCGGCCAGCAAGCAGCAACAGCAGCAGCAAACAACTATCCCTGTTACCGAGACCATGCCAGCAACACCTGACGTAATGACAAATAAACCTGAATCCGTTGGTAGGTTTTAATGTTAAATGTACTCTTGAAGGTAAATATACACGGTGTTGAGCAAAAGGTGGAAGAACAATTAGGCGACGATTCTCTGTGACAATATAAAACGAGAATCGAGAAAGTAGGTGAGAATCCCACCTCCAATTTTCTTTCACCTATTACCAAACAGCCTTTATAATGAAGTAGTAAACGTAGCAGAACCACAAACAAATGTTCTTCTTACGAGGTGTTGGGACAGCTGAATTGCTCAGTCTCAGGACCATCTTCGCTATTCCAAATTCTTTGAAATTCGTCTGAAAAGAAAAGTTATGTAATGAAGAGGATTGCTTTAAATACTTTATTGTTATATTTCTTCTTTGTGGTAGCCCTTTCTGTTTGTTAATTTCAATTTCGTTTTTTATGGTCCCGCTCGCCTTACTACCTTACTATATTATTACCTCCAATCGTACAAGTTTATTTATAGAGAAATGTGTGTCCTATCACCGTGCAGCAAATAATTTCCAAATCAATATTTTAGAAGGAGAAAATCCTAGAAGCGAAACTCCGTCGTCGAATACGGCAACAAATTCGAATTCTAACACCGGTAATACAACACCAACTTCTCAAACTGCCACGATACCCACCAATAACTCTGCGGGTCCAGATGAAGAGGAAGTAGAACCTCCAGCTGTGGTGGTTTATTTGGTTGAACCTTTCTCGCTAGGAGGCCCCGAAGATCCTGACCGTCGAAGACTCGCAATTTTAGCTTTATTACGTGCATACTCCGCAGCGGTGAATAACATGCCTGAAAATATTAGATCAAACATAAATGTTCAGGTAAGATTTCATGTTCAATGTCGTGTGTTCATTGTCGTGCTATTTTCAGCCTAACTCACGTTCTAATCGTACGGTGTCCGTTCATTCACAGTTAATATCCTTGGAAAGTATAATGGAATTAGGGCGAGCTAGAGAAAGGCGGAAAATACAAGACGAGATGCGGGCCTTAGCTTTAAACGTGTTTCTGCAGGGCCGTCGATTGTTAAATCACAACTCTACGGTAAAAAGTCTCACTGGCTTTGGTACTGCTGCCGCCGCAGATCTTTTCCTTAAGAGTAAAGATGTAAGACCCCCGCTTTTATTTCTGTCCTGCAAACGGATCTTCGAGTGAAATCACTCGGTTGCTTGTGCCATATCGTAAACCGAGAATAGCAAACTATATGTGAGCTGTGACTCGGCCATTTTCAGGCTTCTAGTAATAATCTTGCAATTCTACATCAGGAACGGAACAGAGCGCCGTACCGGCTGTACGCGCCGGCCTATGTCCTGGCTCCTCTACGGGCAAAGAGCGAGGCACCCGAGTCATTCGGCATCGCTGGACCAGAGGAATGCGCAGTACTTTACCTGAGCTACTGTCTCAGCGAGGACCAGTCATGGCTACTCGCAGTCGCGACTGATGACCGGGGTGAGATATTTGAGACGGCCACCATCAATATCGACATACCCAATCGGAAGAGAAGAAAACGAGCATCGGCCCGACGAATTGGACTACAAAAGTTAATGGATTTCATTCTGGGCGTGATGTCTCAAGGCGTAAGTACATCTACAATTAATCAGACAACTATTAGCAAGCCTAAGTCATCAATATGTGATTACGCTTTCGTACAGGTTCAACCCTGGAGGTTAGTGGTGGGCCGTGTGGGACGCATTGGACACGGAGAGTTGAAGGGATGGAGCTGGTTACTATCCAGGAAAGCGCTCCTGAAGGCATCGAAGCACTTAAAAGAAATTTGTGGCCAGTGCAGTTTGCTTTACCCGTCGGCAGCACCTTGCGTTCTCAGCGCTTGTTTGGTTTCTCTAGAACCAGATTCAACTTTGAGACTGATGGCTGATCAGTTCACACCTGATGAAAGATTTAGTCAGGCGTCGGTAAACTGCCAATTATCTACACCACAAGATGTCACATGTACTCACATTCTCGTCTTTCCTACGTCTGCAACTACTCAGGTAAATTGATCGCGCGAGCAACTACGATTTTTAATCGAGCCGGACGAATCATTTGTTGTCTAATATGATAAAGAATCACATCTAAGAATTAATATTCTTTTTCTACAGTCATCACAGACTGCATTTCAAGAGCAACATATTAATGGACCAGATTTAGGGGACGATGAATTATTTTCCGCTTTGAACGATGACATGCCAGAAGGTATGGAAGGTATGGGAGACTTCAATGATATCTTCAACGTATGGCCAGAAGCTGGCGCCGGTGGAGGGCAAAGTCCTGGTGCCAGTCCCCATCGTCCCGAAGGATCCCCCTTAGGCGGAGATGGCGGTGGTTCGGGTTTAGGCAATCACGATGGTCCAGGAAGCCCGTTTCCGTGTAGCAACACGCCAAGAGTAAGTAGACATTCGGTAAAATAGAATGCTCTACTAGAAATAAAATGTTTCATGTAATACTGAAACATTCTTTACAGTTGTTACAATTACTAAACAAATGATCCTAACATTGAAATTGTTGATCGATAGGTGGCAGTTGCCGAGCAGGCTGAAGAAGTAGGGACGCTATTGCAGCAACCACTTGCTCTTGGTTACTTAGTATCCACTGCGCCAACCGGACGTATGCCACCATGGTTTTGGTCAGCTTGCCCCCATCTCGAAGGCGTTTGCCCAGTGTTCTTGAAGAATGCCTTACATTTGCATAGTCCAGCAATACAGCAGAATAGTGATGATCTGTTACAGCAGCAAAGTGCACTCACTGCTCATCCGTTAGACTCGCAGTATACCACCGATGTGCTCAGGTTTATATATTATTATTATTATTCACATTTACACCGGAAAATACGCTAATGATCTGATTTTGATTTTGTTCGATCGGTTGTACGAGTTGCTCCCTTTTAATGCTTCGAATTATATTAAAACGTGAGATGTAACGTTTAAACTGTGTTTTGCGATTTTCAGATACGTGTTGGAAGGATACAACGCATTATCGTGGCTCGCTGTAGATGCGAACACGAAGGATCGACTATCCTGCTTGCCAGTGCACGTACAAGCGCTCATGCAGCTCTACCATGCAGCGGCAGCTCTCGTCTGACCCACACCCTCTCCCTTCGTAGTGCAGTATGTGCACCTCTCTCACGCACTCCTTAACCGTACCATCACTTGGGGCTTTACGAGAGCAACTGGTTTCCTAGATCCGTCTTCAACTGTCAATGACTCTGAGATTCCTCGAATAATTGGGATAGAATGACCCTTCGGCCAATCGTCGATGATCCCACGACACTATGAACACCGAGATCTTTTTCCTTGCTCGGCTTCTTTTTACGTCTTAAATTCATACGATATACGGTGAGATCAAGTCACGTCGCGATAATACTTACCGTAAGCTCGATTTTGACGTAATTTCTTTTCTTTCTTTTTCTTTTTATGTATATATATATGTATATATAATATATATATATATATATATATAATATATATACACACATATATACATATATACATATAACAATGTTCTTCTATCCGTATTATTGTTGACAGGCGGACAAACCGAGAAATAAGGTAGATTGTACTTTGTGTTTAAGCAGTAATCGTGACAAATAAAAAGTAAACACGAAGACACTACTAATTAACGACCATGCATTACCGCATACCAAATGGAGTCTGAAGAATGAAAGTGGAAATTGCATGCGATAATACATTAGTAAGAAAGATTGAAACGAACGAATGAAAACTCGAGAACATGTCAGGACAAAGAGAATAAGTGAGAACGAAAGACAACGTGTGAAAGTAAAAGAGTGACTGCCTGTATAAGCGGAAGCGAAGGGGAAACAGAAGAGAGAGAGAGAGAGAGAGAGAGAGAGAGAGAGAGAGAGAGAGAGAGTGCGTTTAAAGAAGCCAACTTTCGATTGTCTCTCTATCAATAGATAGTTCAATTACAAATCAGAATCTCTAGAAAATTACGTAACCAAAACGTTTTTAATTGTAAATTGAATTTTGTACAAAGCTTTTATTATTAATAACGACGAAGTAATATAAATGATATTACGTTGTTTTTTAATTTTATAGAGATGATATAAATGAAAAAAAAGAAAGAACAGAAAGGGAGGCGACACTTCTTTTTTACAAGTATATTGCCTCGTACAAGCCCCTGGTGTGAGATAAGTATGACAATTTTAATATTATATTGTATTATGCTCGCGCGGCACTGGGTCACTGTTATCATGTTTCCTGGACCCGTTAGCGCAATTTTTCGATGCTGTTTGACAAATTTTATTCGAATTAGGTGACCTCTATATATTATACATACATTAATAGTGTAAAATATTGTTTTTAAATAATTTATGAAGTGGAAATATCGCCGATGTATTAGATTATTGAGAATGAACGAAGGGAGCGAGAGAGAAAAGAGAATGAGAGAAGAGCACAGTTTTGTTCCCTGCAACTTAGGAAAAATAATTTAAAATATACAAGCAAAATGAGCAAGTGAACGAAGCGAAAAAAATATATGAGGAAAAAAATAAAAAGACAAGAGATACGAATACAGGGCGCGTCTGAATGGAAGCCAATGGTGGCTAGTTGCGTCAGTCGCATAGTACAAATATGACTTGTACATAGCAACCCTTAATCCTCCCCCTTATAAAGTTATTGGTTAATTTACTCACACACCACACTCACACTGTATCTATAGTATTTATTATCTGGGTAGAACATCATTATTGGGATTATTATTATTATTAATTATTATTACTATTATTATATTAATATTACGAAATACAGTTTTATGTGTATATATAATTATATACCTCATTTCACACAAAACGCGTATCTTACAGTGTCGATGTTGCAAGCATAATGGAAACGCCGCAACATTTACATATTTCTATAAGCAGTTCAATGGACATAAAAAATTCTTTCTTGTCTTTATGCTGCAAAATCTCACAAGAAGGTGTGTACTCTCTCAGTGTACGCAGAATAGGTACGAGGACAATTATTAGACGATAGCTTTTCTTTTTATACAGAAATTTTCTCTTTTCTAAGGAATGTTAAAGAATAGCAACATTTTTCAANTACATATATACATATAACAATGTTCTTCTATCCGTATTATTGTTGACAGGCGGACAAACCGAGAAATAAGGTAGATTGTACTTTGTGTTTAAGCAGTAATCGTGACAAATAAAAAGTAAACACGAAGACACTACTAATTAACGACCATGCATTACCGCATACCAAATGGAGTCTGAAGAATGAAAGTGGAAATTGCATGCGATAATACATTAGTAAGAAAGATTGAAACGAACGAATGAAAACTCGAGAACATGTCAGGACAAAGAGAATAAGTGAGAACGAAAGACAACGTGTGAAAGTAAAAGAGTGACTGCCTGTATAAGCGGAAGCGAAGGGGAAACAGAAGAGAGAGAGAGAGAGAGAGAGAGAGAGAGAGAGAGAGAGAGAGAGAGTGCGTTTAAAGAAGCCAACTTTCGATTGTCTCTCTATCAATAGATAGTTCAATTACAAATCAGAATCTCTAGAAAATTACGTAACCAAAACGTTTTTAATTGTAAATTGAATTTTGTACAAAGCTTTTATTATTAATAACGACGAAGTAATATAAATGATATTACGTTGTTTTTTAATTTTATAGAGATGATATAAATGAAAAAAAAGAAAGAACAGAAAGGGAGGCGACACTTCTTTTTTACAAGTATATTGCCTCGTACAAGCCCCTGGTGTGAGATAAGTATGACAATTTTAATATTATATTGTATTATGCTCGCGCGGCACTGGGTCACTGTTATCATGTTTCCTGGACCCGTTAGCGCAATTTTTCGATGCTGTTTGACAAATTTTATTCGAATTAGGTGACCTCTATATATTATACATACATTAATAGTGTAAAATATTGTTTTTAAATAATTTATGAAGTGGAAATATCGCCGATGTATTAGATTATTGAGAATGAACGAAGGGAGCGAGAGAGAAAAGAGAATGAGAGAAGAGCACAGTTTTGTTCCCTGCAACTTAGGAAAAATAATTTAAAATATACAAGCAAAATGAGCAAGTGAACGAAGCGAAAAAAATATATGAGGAAAAAAATAAAAAGACAAGAGATACGAATACAGGGCGCGTCTGAATGGAAGCCAATGGTGGCTAGTTGCGTCAGTCGCATAGTACAAATATGACTTGTACATAGCAACCCTTAATCCTCCCCCTTATAAAGTTATTGGTTAATTTACTCACACACCACACTCACACTGTATCTATAGTATTTATTATCTGGGTAGAACATCATTATTGGGATTATTATTATTATTAATTATTATTACTATTATTATATTAATATTACGAAATACAGTTTTATGTGTATATATAATTATATACCTCATTTCACACAAAACGCGTATCTTACAGTGTCGATGTTGCAAGCATAATGGAAACGCCGCAACATTTACATATTTCTATAAGCAGTTCAATGGACATAAAAAATTCTTTCTTGTCTTTATGCTGCAAAATCTCACAAGAAGGTGTGTACTCTCTCAGTGTACGCAGAATAGGTACGAGGACAATTATTAGACGATAGCTTTTCTTTTTATACAGAAATTTTCTCTTTTCTAAGGAATGTTAAAGAATAGCAACATTTTTCAATAAAGAAAACGAACCATGCGTTAGTTATTTCGAGGAGGAAATTAATTTCTGGTGATCACAGTGGTGTAAATACTGCTTTTTTTATTCTAAGAACAAAATATCTTACAATTTCGTTATTAATGGCTAAAATATTATTTTACAATGTATATAAGTATTACCATATTTGCACATTCATAGATATGATAAGATAATCGTCACTCGCCGATAAAAATCAGAAGGTGCAGTCGCATTTCTGATATGCTTGTAACATGTATATCAGTGTACCCTATTTTACTCGTGCAATGAAATTACAAACTTCTCATCTTTATGCATAGGTATGTATAAACGTTATGCAAGATGTCTGGCTACAGATGGAACAAATTTTAAGGGGTATTCTAGATATTGAAATTAAACGAAAACCAAAAGCAGAGTTTCGGATTCATTCTTAAATTATTCACAATCCGCCAATAACGACGTGCATACTTAACTCATATCGGTAGAAATACGGTCAGTGGACTTGACGATATTAAATATAGATGCTAGTTTGGAACATGACATTTAGAATTACAATGACATTTTCTAAAATCTCTGACAGGTTGCTTCACATTATTAAACTTATTCATTAAAATCGATAGAGATATATTACATAGCTTTTTCAAATCTAACTTTTTCAATAACAAAATTTAATCTCATCAATTGCAATCTAATTATATGTGTGCGGACGTGCAATTTTACTAGTATCCATATGCATTGTGCACTACAATTATCCTATTCGTAAGTATCGATAATACTGTCCGTGATCTTAACAAATTTTCAACTCTTCATAAATTAAAGAACTAAGTACAGTCTCCAAACTAATGTAATTTACGAGTCAGGGGCCAACAATGATATATAAAAGACTTCGAACGAGACTCTGCGTTTTCGACCCAATTTACTTGAGCAAGCAACTATGAATCACGGTCGTGTGTTTATATCTCATCAAGCCAAGCAATACCATGCACAACTTATGGCACACGTAATTATCGAATTGAACAGAAATGTTTAGTAATTTAATATCTTTAAATAGCGACTAATTAATACAGAGTGATTAAATTATTTCTGTTCAAGTCTTCGAATCAACTGGAGTACGATTACGATCTATTCCGTTCATGGCAATATTTTAGTTGTACACATCTGCAGTAAGCGCTCCTTAGAGATATTTGTTCAGTAAAAAGAAAAAAAAGTTACGGTTTTAGTTTGGCGTGATTGTGTGCGTGTGTACTGTACAATGTAGTAGATCAAAAGAAAGAACGAAAGAATACACATGAAACATAATCGACACTTTTGGTCAAACAATCACAGTGTGTAATAAATATTGACGTTTCACAATTGGTTCATCGATATCGGAAGGAAAATAAATTTAATGCTGTACAAAAATTACCGAGCTTTTTGAAAAATAACATTGGACCCCGAATCACAAATTCAAAATAAAATATCCAATTGATATTTGAATGTCGATAATTTCAAAATTATGCCGATATAGTAATTTTATTATTTTTAGCTAAAGTGCACTCGTTCCTTCCGAAAAACCTTCGTGCAATTATTAATACTGAGTGGACCAAAATATTTGGAGTATACCAGATGTGTCTTGAATGACTTGTGCTCGTACGCTCATGGTATTTGGGATGACGTCCAGAAAGGATACTATCAACCACACTATGATACACGAGCTTTACTCGGGAAAATAAACAGGACAGAACGCTCAAATTTGGAACTCAAATGCATGCTTGAGAAAAACCAATACAAGAAATTAGAATGTATCCTCTCTGGAACTGGTCAAGAAAGAGTCTTAACATCTAGAATCACCCAACTGTAGCGCAACATCTTGCATGCACATATATATATATATATGTGTGTGTATGTGTATGTATAGATATACAGTATATCTCAAAAGTATGAGATCGGAGGAAGAATGTACATACCATTCTCTCTTTCTCCTGGCACACATACAGTGGATAAGTTTTTTACCATTTTGCAAATTGAGCATAACATACTCTGACAGCCGACGAGCCTGATATCACAAAAACGATACTTCAACTGGCAAAACGGTAACACAGATTTTTTAAATTGTGTATTTCCTGGCTTCATACTTTTTTGACACCCTGTATATGTACATTATGTAATTATATTAGATATCACACACTTCATCTTTCAGTGAATATATTCATTATTAAATTCGTTGGCCTGAATGGACTAGCGTTGTGTACATGAATAAAAGAATATGAAATAATTGATAATGAGGTTGAGCACAAAAGAATTGTGCTAAGTTTCGGACTTAAAAATTCTTTTTCAACACAAAAGAGTGTTTCGATTAAAACATTCTAAAGACTAGTATTCCGTTGGTACAGTGATCGACTGATCAACAGTAAGTTTCTCCACAACGTGTGTAATGCCGTACGGCCTTAAGTGGTAAATTAAGTATTCAAGAACATACATCATATTAGGTGAGACGTAATGAAACGATATCGCGCTATCGGAACAACAATTGAGACCATCTTTAACATCGTAGTAAATGTACTTCCAGTACCAAAAATTCTTATCCACGTGGTTAGGTATTAAATGGTGTTCCGGGACGAACGGGAAGAATCTACCGCGGCCGTGTGAATCCCTAGTGTCCATCGCTTTCACACCGACTTTTTCTAGACATTTTCCCATTTCTACGTCTTCGGCGCCTCCGTTGTCCTCGCGACATTTGGTTTTATCGGGCAAACCATCCTCTACGAATTTACGTAAACCTTCTTTGCTGAGAACATATCCTGCACCACCGCTCATGTATCCTTGCTTAACGAACGGCTTAAATCGACAGCCAAAGTACAGGGGCGAACTTGGATTATAAGACGACAACATATACCGCAGATTTTCAACTACCACGTATCTGTAAGCGATAACAATAATTGAATCAAATTTCACGTAGTCTATACAGTAGAACTGCGACTATATCATATTCAATCTGATTCTGTAATATTTATATCTTTCAAACGTCGAACTACAAACAGTAATAAAGTTATAATGAAATATACTAACGTATCATCATCAGCCTTCATAAACCATTCAACTTTGTCTTTGTACTTTTCATAGGCATATTTAAATGCTTCTTTGGTTTTAGCCCACAGATTCTCCCTTCCTTCTTTTACTGGCAGAACAACTGTAGGTAATTTGTCATCTGAACGGAATAAGTTCGATAAGTTTAAAATACATTTTCTCCTTTAATTCGATGTTCTATACAATGGAAAGATATAACTTACCTTCTACAGAACTCATAAATAAAAGAATATTACATCGTTTGCCCCATGTTGCTTTCACGTGTTGTGCTTTGCTTTGGTGATTCTTTGGACCTGTCATAACCCAGCAAAGAACACGTACTTTTCTTGCAAGGTCTTGCGCAACTTCATCTTCACCTTTATGAAAATCTTCATCTTCGCCATGAAATTTTACCTCCGTTTGTGGTCCAGCCTATTACATATGTTTAGAACATGGAACAAGTTGGATAAAGGAAAATTTAGTAGAAGAATATGATTGTATCTAGTATATTCACTTCTGCTTCCAGTTCCGAGTAATGATGAGGATCTCTAGAAAGAATCGATCCTCCAGAAAACCAATTAAATACATATGGCACATCTCTTGTCGTTGCTATTAAAAGGCACGCAGAGAGAAATCCGAAAACGACACCAGCAACAAGAGTCACAACGAAATGTCTACCGCTTCTTATACCTACAGAGGAAGATAAATGTTATTCAACTACGCATTCGTTGATTAATAAACCAACTTAATCTTATCTTTTCTTTCTCTTAATTTTCTAACATTTTTAAGATACTTAAGACTGTGAAAATATTTTCAAATAATATAATAATTTTTTAAAGGAAAAAAACTATTTATGAAACCATGTCTAATGTTTTCTCCTTCTTTTCTGCCACTCGATAAAATGTTCTCAAAGCTATCCTTATAATTAAGGATATATTTTAATACGTACGCACCATTAATATTTGGTAGCCTTTGTCGAACCATGATACATGATAGAAACATGTAATTTCAATTATATAACAGGACAAATATTATAATAAGCAGTACCTCTCTGTTACTAAGCACAAAAAATGGTACACATTTAGTATTTGTATTTTATGTTTAGATAGTACTTGCACACTGTTTCCACAAATTACCTCTCTTTACAAGGTCCATAATCCATCCACTTTCAAAACTTTGTAGATTTGTAAAACAATGAAAAACAGAGTGACAATTTCTTAGTTGCCAATGTCACTTGCAGTGACTATAT